CAAGGTGAGACTCTATCTCAAAAAGCAAGCCAAAGCAGCAGAGTATTCTGATATCTCAAACCATAGATTTTGGTAGAACTGGTGGTTTAATCAGCATCCTAGTGATTAATGGGGATTTGCTATATGAAGGTACCCAAATCAATTCTATTTTCTTGGAACTTTGTGGGTTTTTTTGAGACAGGGTCTCTCTATGTAGTCCAGGCTGCCCTCAAACAGGCTCCTCCTGCCCAGGCTTCCAAGGGCTGGGATTACAGATGTGGGCAACGATGCCTGGCTTTTCTTGATGCTTTTAAGGACTAGATATGATGCTAAGTGCTTTAGTCCTGTCTGGAAGCAAAATCACTCACATCTCACATCACTATAAATCACTCACATCTCATATCACTATAAATATCTATCTATCTATCTATCTATTTATAGATAGATAGATAGATTTTTTTTTTGGTGGTACTAAAGACTGAACTCAGGGCCTCCCACTTGCTAGGCACCCCACCACCACTTGAGCTACTCCCCTCAGTCCTTTTGCTTTTAATTTGTTTTTCAGATAGAGTCTCATACCTTTACCCAAGTCAGCCTCAAGCTGTGATCCTCCTATCTTTCCTCTGAAGTAGGTGAGATTATAGGCATGCACCACCACACCTGGGCTCACTATAGTCTTTTTTTCCTGCTGACCCTTGACCCAGGCCAAATAAAGCATATTTAGATCAGAGCCTTATAGTAAAATGGGCAATGGGGAGGTTTGGTTCGTGAAATTCCATACGTTCTCCTGATTTGACTTCCTTCCTCTGTACTCTACACAGAAGCCATGAAGCTAAATAATCAAGCTATGAAAGGGAGATTTGAGGAGCTTTCAGCCTGGACAGAAAACAGAAGGAGGAACGCCAGCTCTTTGAGATACAGAGCAAGGAAGCCAAAGAGCGACTGACAGCTTTGACTCGTGAAAATGAGAAACTGAAGGAAGAGCTGGGAAAACTAAAAGGGAAACTGGAAAGGTCATTTGCGGTGAGCAAACTGAGCAACTCTGATTTGATTTTCTTAATATTTGCTATAGAATCTTAATTGTCTAGACTCCTAGATCAATGCCTTTCATGATTCAGGCTGGACTGGCGTTTTGCAGGTCTTGAAAGAAGTGTTTTGCTGAAAAGATCGCTTGTGATTTTAAAGATCAAGTATAATCTCTGTTGGAGGAAAGAATTTTTGAGACTTTTTCCATATTGACTCAAGTCAAAAAAATATTGAGATCATAAATCGACGCCTTGCCTTCACTGCAGATGGTGCATACAGACCTCTGCGTGGAACCACCCACTTGGTAGTCTTTAGTTTGTCTTTAATATAAAATTGTTTTTTTTAAATCTATTACTCTAAATTTTATTTCTTGACCTTGTCCCTTCTCTCAGTCTGAAATAGAGATTATTTATTTCACATGTTCCTTTAGAAAAAAAATGTCTTGGCAAAAGCCATCTTGCAATAGGAGGCTGGCTGTTTGGTTTCCATGGTAAAGAGGGAAGAAGACTTGTTTTTGTTGACCCAAAGAACAAAGGAAATGTATTCATACCCAAGAGTGGATCAAAGGTGTTAATGAAAACCAAACCAGGACACATTGGAAGTTCTTGCTGAGCCTCCAGCCTTGCTGGCTGTTGTTTGTTTGCATTGACATCTGCCATCCACGTTCTTCCAAACCTGGACTTAACCCTTTGGAGGAGGGAGCACTGGGTTGGTTAAGGAGGGATTTATTCCAGAAATCAATGTTTTGTTTGTTTTCTTTCTTGAGACTTTACCTTGAAGTTTGTTGATCTCTACATTTTGGATGGATAAAGGAATGGAAACAAGAAATAAAATAGAAAATAATTCAAAGGGAGGGATGACAGAGGATAAAGATGAACATTGTTCAGGAACTATAAAAAAAGATCACTTAAATCAAACTCTTATTCATCTTCCCCTGCTCACAGGATGAGGAAAACATTCTGCTTGAGTCATTTATATTCGTATTGGACATGTGTCATTCTTGATAAGATTTATCTCGCCTAATCCTTCAACCTGTCTTACGGAGTTCAAAGAACATTAAGTTGTTTCCTTGGTGGGGGTAGGAGTCTCTCATTAGTTGAATATTTTTGAGGTAGAATTCTTTGAAGAAATGATCACCTGGAACATATGAATAATTTCCTACTCTCTGAAAGAAAAATCTTACATTATTTTCCTTTTTTGGCTTTTGGGAGGTGAGTTGACAGTTGGCTCCTGTCTGCTGGGACCTATCACATTGAAGCCAAGAAGGAAGCTTCTAGAACACTTTGTCTTTTGAGATAATCTGCCCACAGGTTTTCCTGGGAGGCTCCACAATTGGGAGCTGTTGAGACAGAAGCTGGAGCTCTGTCAGCTGCTTTCAAGGCAGATGACCGATGGGCACGAGGTTGGGCAGGACCCGGGGCTCGGGGGGGGGGGGGGGGGAAGAAGAAATGAACTGCTTTTGAACCCTTGGCCATCAGCCTTTTCCCACCAGTCTGAGCTACTCCATCCGCCCCATTGCCTCCCTGCCTTTTCTTTAGTTTTTATTTCATGGATCCTTTGGAGAGATTTTTATTGAGTCCTCATCTTCCTGACTTAGTAAAGCTAAGGCCTCTTCTGACTGTTCTCTCTCATGCCACCCATCCTTGGTGCTGTTTCCTACAGATGAGAACATAGGAAACCCCCTCCCCACAAGCCAGCAAGGCTTCTCATGTGTTCTGAGCCTCACGGGAGCCAGAGTAGGCATTTCCCGTGGAGGTCTGCCTTTCCATCCTCAGTGTGAGCTGAGGTGTGAGTGACTCTGCCTGATTTCACCCAATTATGCATTAAAATGATCTCCAGAGAGTACTTTGTAACTTTTAATTGTATAAATGGCCAGGTAAAGACCATAGATAAACATTCCTTCTGGAATTCTAGCTGACACATTAACCTGGACAGCGGTACATTTTCAGGAAAATGAAATGGAAAGCCTTTACAAATACATGAAAAGATAAATTGTGTTATGGGAAGGTCAATGGTAAGGGCTCAAAAGTGACATGTAGTGATAATGGAGTTGCAGGAGATTTTGAAAAAATAAACCACAGCGCTTGCCTGGCATGTGTAAGGCCCTGGGCCCAATCCCCAGCACCATTCTAAAAAGTCCTTTGAGAAGTCAAGAGGGTACAGAGGCTAAGACTGAAGATCCTAATAAGGTGTAGTTTTGCCTTTACCTGCCTAGTCTACTTCTGATTCGAATACCATTTTCATTCTTCAAGTTTGTTCTTTCCTTTGAGTCCTCACTGAGGTAGCTCACACAGACTTCTGACCTTCCTCATTGACCTGAATCCCTGGGTTCACAATGAGTTGCTTTTCTCTGAGGCCTGTAATGGTTCCCCAACAAGGGATAGCTCCACATGAAGAACATTGCCCCTGTAGTGTGAAGAAAGTCAATACCTGTGCCTCCATTTTAAAATATTTTAGGAACTAGTTGGTTTATGGTCCACCCATCCAAATCGACACCTCTTTGGTTCAACCATGAGCCTTGAGGGCATTTTTATGTTCCTTGGGAAATCTCTCAGAGAGGGCAGGGAAAGGGAAGGAATAAAACTCCAGGACATGGGCTGGTGGAGAGCCTCAAGTGGTAAAGCATCTGCCTAGCAAGTGTGAAGCCCTCAGTTCAAACCCCAGTACCACCCCCCCCCCAAAAACACTAGGGCAACATTGACTACAAGTGTGAGATCACTTATTTAAATTACTTGTTTAAATAATCTATAGATGGTATTTAATTATACTATAAATTCCTGAGGGCAGTTAAGACTTTTCTTTAAAAGCTGGTCTGCAGGTATTTGTTATTTTACCTTGAACTATTAAGGTGAAGGACTGTGTCTATCTGTTGTAGTTTTCTGATATTGTTGGGGCACCGCAATTAAGGTTTGGAAAGGGAATTGGTGACATGCACATAAGGACCATATAGGTTTTCTGGGGAGGGAACCAGCAGAGACATGGAGGTCACCACTGGCAGAGACCATGGACTATGTGGTGCTACATAGTTCCAAGGCCAGAACTTCAGGGAGTCTGCTCAAGATCAAATCCGCAGTGGTTAGCAGATGTAGACTACATCTGTTGTCCCTGCTCCCAAGTAAAAGTGCCACACCTGAGCAGGGTCTTTCTCCTGTAACTGTCCTCTGCAGTCATTACAATTGGGTAAACAACTCATGCTTGACACTAGTGGAATATTTTTTTTGACACTAGTGGAATATTGATGCTGATTATTCACATTTGTGCATGTGGAAACTTAAGGTTTTCCTTACCATTGGGTTATACCCATCTACTAACATTGGGAGAATTTGAGATTTTTCATGTGACTTACTGTTGCCAAGTAACATCCTTGATGCTTTGGTTTTGAACTAGATCTGACGGGTGTGGGGAGAGCGGGGTAAGTGGCCATTTGTGGGAAGGAAAAACATAAGAAGGAGGTTGAATTATAACAGCTTTTTGTCCTTGTTTTCTGGAATTTCAAACTATAACTTACGAGGTTACTCAAAGTTTGGTTAGTTATTCCAATGTGCCATGGAATCCTTTCTTTTGTGTCATAAAGTTATTATTTACTAAAACGAAATAGTATAAAAATTCCATTTTATTTTATGGTGCTGGGGATTGAACCTCAGGGCCTTGTGCATGCTAGGCAAGCACTCCACTATTGAGCTCTACCCCCAGCTCCCAGATTTCCATTTTAAATGATAATATGTCAGAATAAATTGTCAAGTAAGAGCTACAATCTTTAAAGGATAGGAGAAGACCAGGTGTGGTGGTACATGCCTGTAATCCCAGCACTCAGAAGTCTGAGGCAGGGGGATTACAAGTTCAAGGCCAGCTTAGGCTATATAGCAAGTTCCGGGCCAACTTGAGCTACATAGTGAGACCCCCATCTCAAACAAACAAACAAACAAAAAAAAAAAAAAAAAGAAGAAGAAGAAAAAAAAAAAAAAACAAAAGAAATATTAAGAAACCGCCTTTTTGTGCTGGGGGGATTTCTGAGTTTGATGGGTAGGCCCTTAGTTTGATTTGTGTATTCACTTTATTCCCTGTCATTTCTAGGACCCCAATGGTGACTCTAGGCCTCCCAAGGCAGAAGCAGAACAGGAAGCAGAGCAGCTAAAGACACAGGTGGCCCGCCTTCAGGCTGAGAAGGCCGACCTACTGGGCATCGTCTCAGAATTACAGCTCAAGGTCAACTCCAGAGGCTCCGCAGAAGACTCCTTTGTTGAAATTAGGATGGTTGTAAGAGTTTTGGTTGCACTTCTGTTGTAAACAAACTATAAAGCGTCATCCAGACAGATGAAAAAAATACCACTATCATTTGTCAACACAGGGAAGCCCAATAATGAGGAAATTGCAGTATAGCAGCATTAAATTGCTAACCCCATTTTTATTATTTTTAGGCTGCTCTGTAACTCTTGCTCCCTTTTGTCTCTTCCAAAATTTTTTTTGGAGGGGAGTGGTTCTGGGGATTGAACCCAGGGCATGCTAGGCAAGCTCTCTACCATTGACCCAAATCCCTAGTCCTACTCCTGTTTTTAAAGTGTAACATAGTGCTTGCAAGAGTTATCCTAGCTGAAATGAAAAAAAAAAAAAAAAAAAAAAAAAAAATATATATATATATATATATATATCAGTTACCTTTTATAATCTTTTTCCCCAACTTGTCTTGGCAAATTAGGTATTTTTGTAACTACCCTAAAAGCAAAAACAACCCCCCCCCACCCAAAACAAAAACCACTTGGAGTGGCTCAAGTGGTACAGTGCCTGCCTAGCAAGCATGGTGAGGCCTTGAGTGTAACCCAGTACTGCAAAAAAAAAACAAAAACCCAAAAAACCACAAACATGAACTTTCTGTCATTTTTTTCAAACCAAATCTCAAAACTAGGTTGAGCAGTTCACTCAGGAACAGAATTGTGATCAAATGTAGTGAACAAATGGCTTTTAAACACTTTAAATAATGGAATTGTCTTTTCAAAGTCAAATGAGGAACCATGGTAATTAAAAATGAGAGGAGGGTGGCAGACTGAGGGGAGTCTAGATTTTTCCCTCCCTTCCAATAGCATCTACGAGGCATCTCTGAGAACTGAGTTTGAAGCCAGTGCTATCCAACTTAAATTTCTATGCAACCCAAAATGAAATGGGTTAAGTGAGGTGGTGTGGACTGATTCCTAGGCTCTTGTAAAGGGTCTTTTGGGAGTGTCTCTGGATGTATTCAGACCTGTTACAGAGCAAAGCAGATGTACAAATCTTGTAGGGGGTCTGTCCTTGTGAGCTACTTAAAGAGATTGGACAGTGAGGGAGAAAAACACAATCCTCTGTATTAGACATGCTCATTTTATCTTTGTCAAAGGACATATCTGATATAGGAAAAGAGATTAACTGAAGAGAGAAATGTTCAACATATATAAGTCAGGAGGAGAGGAGAGTAACTTGCAAAAACTGAGCTACTAGATATGTCTGGAATATGAGCATGGGACTTCCTTATTCACTTGCTGCACTAAAGAGTAATAGAGTTGGAAAATGGCTCTCACTGCCCTTGTCATCCACACTTCCTAATAAATTTTAGATGTATTAATAAATAAGTGGCCAAACTCAAGAGCAGTGAAGATTTGAAGCATACCTTGCTGACTATCCTTTCTGCAAGTGACCAAAGGGGACTAAAGCCTAAGTTTGATCACAGAGCGTTAGCCCTCTGCAAATAACTGATAAAATTTAGGAAGCCCAAATATTTTATCATGAGTTTCCAAAGGAGGCTTCTTTCATAGTTTGCATCATCTTCTGCCTCCCAGATGAGTGACAGTTATTGTTAGCATAAATTTTTGTTTGCCTGGCTTCTGTGAACTCAAAAACACTGCCCATGGTTTAGGAAGAGTGTATCCAAAATATCAAGGACATCTTTGTGCATTTTTGAAGATTTTCTCCATTAGCTTATTGGAATAGAACTGCCTTACAAATCCTATTAAGTCTTGGTCTTAGCCAGCGATGCAAATTATAACGAGAGCCAACTTGGCAAAAACATTGCTTTGTAAGCCTCATCCACAGAAACTGCCTCCTTTTCTACTTTGCTTAGGTGAATTCTAGCATTTTCCATTTTAAAGGACTGTTAGGAAAGGTCCATGGAGTTGTCACTGCTCTGTGTGACCTTAACCTAGGGAACGAGGGAGATGCCAAGGAGAGAGAGGAGGAGATAAGCTTTCATGGAGTCAGGTTGACTGGGTTCAACAAGAGGAGGCCAACCTTCATGCCTTGGCCTAGATATTTATAATTCTGACAGGACATGCAGCTGCAGGAAGAGTAAATTTCCACTCCAGTTGGATGACCTAGTTAAACCACTTCACATTCAAAAGGTGGTTAGTTTTCTTGGTTTGCATATCATTAAAGTTCTTGATCTTTTTGTCCTTCTTTCTTTTGACAAAGAATTTCTCTAACTGACATATTGTGCTTAAATCCCTCTCATCTATGCTTTCACAGGAAGGAGAAGCAGATGGGTCAATAAGAGAAATCAAGAATAGTCCTGGGCCCATAAAAACGGACTCCACATCCATTAACACGTATGTGATGAAAGACTAGAGTGATCAGACAGACTCACAGACAGGGCAGCCTTGTCACTTTTAGCCTGGTACTGGAGGTCTAACATGAAGGGCTGAAAAGTAACTTCTCTCTAACTTGTACCAGGGCCTTTCTAGAATATTCGATTTGAATGGTATTTAATGTTGCCCAATCTGGCAAAATTAAAAATAATGTCTAGTGCCTTGCTAGGCTTACAAATGCTGACTACTCTGTTATAGAGGTGTTTCATTTCCATAAACTAGTCCTTGATCAAACAAAGGTATTTGTTCCTAGTCAAAAGACCCATGTTTTACTCATTACCAGTGCTCTTTGACCTAGACCAGGCTGCCCAGCTTCCATAAGGGGGATGTGTCCATTTTCTCTTTCCTGTTCATTACAAATAAATGACAAACCAGATGATCTTTTGTAACAACTGTTGTTAGTGCTCTCAGTCATTGTGGGCATTTCTTAAAAGTGTCCAGCTATCTTATCTGTGGAGTCTCAGATTTACCTGCCCCATGTAGATACTAAGAAACAGACTTCTTAAATAATTAGAGAGCCTTTGGTGAGGAGATAGTAGAAGTGAGTGTGTCAACCACTTGACTCAGCCCTCAGCCAGAGGAAGTCGTTAGCTCCTCCTCTGTGTGCAGGTTGCTACTTCATTCGTCCATTTATGAGTCAGTCTGAACATTTCTCTGGATCTCTTCCCTCATAGACTTTTGCGTGTATGTGATACTAGGGTTTGAACTCAGGGCTTTGTGTTAGCAAAGCAGGTGCTCTACCACTTGAGCCATACCTCCAGTCCCCTCTAGACTTGAAAACCTTTCTATAAGTTGTGAAAAGATACATACAGAAGAATGTATAAATGATTAACACAACTTTTTTCAGCTATGTTCCCAAGGCTTCATATCAGGGAGAAAATAAGGATTATATAATATGCTTTCATCAAACAGTGCATAAATAAGCATTATTCCCTTTTTTAGCCAGAAATGCTTCAACTTTCCCCAAATTGCTGTTTTTAATATCAGAAGACTTTCCTGGAAGTAGAAGGAAGGAAGAAAACTGTGTTTGAAAGTTTCAAGCCACTTCCTCCTCATTTATATCCACACGCAAAGACCACTTCCTCTTTTGGGCTACACTGCTAACTTTTTAAAATAATAACAGCTCTGTGTCATTTATGAGTATCAAAAGAGATCAGAGCTAGATTTCTAGGTTTGGAGTTAAAGCTTTGGAGTCTTGGTAACTGGTATTCAGCCCTGGCTATTTATCAGATATGGTAGTTTGAGTAGATGACTAAAATAATAGCTGTGATGACTTTGTGACTACAGTCATAGTTGTGGGTTTAAGTGTCTCTTAATTCATCAGCCACATTTGGAAATCGAGAAAAATATTTGACAGTAGTGCCAATATTTTTCTGCTTTGATTATTTGAAACCAAACCAAAACAGGTTTTCTTTTCTTGACTTGCAAATGTGATAGCTTCTGTCCATTTGGAGAAAGGCCAATGGTCTGCCCACATGCATTGTATAATTTGTTTGACTGCAGTCCCCTTTGTGATTAGATCTCTAGAGAGGCTGGCTCCTCCAGCTAGGGCTGCTGAATTGATTCTGTGGGTTGTGTGGTCTTAGGTTGTATAAACAGTGACCATTTTGAAGAAACAAGTGCTCACATTGTCAGGCTACTTTCTGGAGCCTTGTGTTAGTCTTCACGCTTCACCCAGAAAACATGAAAGAGCTTGGCTGGATGGGTCACAGAACCAGCTGCACTTGATTAATCCATGAGAATTAATTGGAGAATGTTCTGGAAAGCAATTCCTGTAAATTAGTCTCAGTTATATTGGGCAACTCTTTTCTTATTCTTGACATTTTCATTTTCTGATGAAAACCTTTGTAAGTTTTATACCAGCTGTGGTGGTGATGTGATGTCTCAATGTAGGAGCAAATCTGCAGAAGGTGCCAGAAATTATTTGGAATTTGAGGAATTAACTGTGAGCCAGCTCCTGCTTTGCCTAAGGGAAGGAAACCAGAAGGTGGAGAGACTTGAAACTGCTCTCAAAGAAGCCAGAGAAAGGTATGAAATAGATTAATATGGAATGTGCACACATCTTAACTGCTTTATTGAAATATCATTTAGATACCGCACAGTTCACCTGTGGAAAGTGTGCATCTCAATATTTCTAGAACATTCACCAGGTGATGCAATCATTGCCACAACAGAATTTTAGAACGGTTTCCCCTATAGCAGAAATCCAGTACCCACTAGCACTCGCTTTCCACTCCTTCCAGTGATCTGCTTCCTGTGCCTGTAGATTTGTCCATTCTGCGCATTTCATAGAACTGAAGCAATCCATATGCGGTTCTTTGTGACCGGTACTTCACCACTGTTGCTGTTGAATAATATTCCACTGTATGAGTATAAACCTTTTTATTTTTCTGTGCACCATTTGTTGGCCATTTGGATGGTTTCCTCTTTTTACCGGCATCCACATCGTTTCACATTCACACGAGCAGCGTATGAGTGTTCTACTTTCTCCATATCCATACCAACACCTGCTATTGTCTAGCTCTTTATTTTAGCCATGCTAGTAGATGGGAATGGGTATCTTCTTGTACTTTCATTTCTATTTCCCTAGGGAGTTACTTTTATGTCAGATCTTCTTTGGATAAATATCTATTCAAATTTTCAGCTTATTTAAGAACATGAGTGTTTATTTTATTTTATTTTTATTGTTTTATTATTCATATGTGCATACAAGGCTTGGGTCATTTCTCCCCCCTGCCCCCACCCCCTCCCTTACCACCCACTCCCCCCCTCCCTCTCCCCCCCACCCCCTCAATACCCAGCAGAAACTATTTTGCCCTTATTTCTAATTTTGTGGGAGAGAGAGTATAAGCAATAATAGGAAGGAACAAGGGTTTTTGCTGGTTGAGATAAGGATAGTTATACAGGGCATTGACTCACATTGATTTCCTGTGTGTGTGTGTTACCTTCTAGGTTAATTCTTTTCGATTTAACCTTTTCTCTAGTTCCTGGTCCCCTTTTCCTATTGGCCTCAGTTGCTTTTAAGGTATCTGCTTTAGTTTCTCTGTGTTGAGGGCAACAAATGCTAGCTAATTTTTAGGTGTCTCACCTATCATCACCCCTCCTTGTGTGCTCTCGCTTTTATCATGTACTCAAAGTCCAATCCCCTTGTTGTGTTTGCCCTTGATCTAATGTCCACATATGAGGGAGAACATATGGTTTTTGGTCTTTTGGGCCAGGCTAACCTCACTCAGAATGATGTTCTCCAATTCCATCCATTTACCAGCGAATGATAACATTTCGTTCTTCTTCATGGCTGCATAAAATTCCATTGTGTATAGCTACCACATTTTCTTAATCCATTCGTCAGTAGTGGGGCATCTTGGCTGTTTCCATAACTTGGCTATTGTGAATAGTGCCGCAATAAACATGGTGTGCAGGTGCCTCTGGAGTAACCTGTGTACAGTCTTTTGGGTATATCCCCAAGAGTGGTATTGCTGGATCAAATGGTAGATCAATGTCAGTTTTTAAGTAGCCTCCAAATTTTTTTCCAGAGTGGTTGTACTAGTTTACATTCCCACCAACAGTGTAAGAGGGTTCCTTTTTCCCCGCATCCTCGCCAACACCTGTTGTTGGTGGTGTTGCTGATGATGGCTATTCTAACAGGGGTGAGGTGAAATCTTAGCGTTGTTTTAATTTGCATTTCCTTTATTGCTAGAGATGGTGAGCATTTTTTCATGTGTTTTCTGGCTTTTGAATTTTTCTTTTGAAAAAGTTCTGTTTAGTTCACTTGCCCATTTCTTTATTGGTTCATTAGTTTTGGGAGAATTTAGTTTTTTAAGTTCCCGGTATATTCTGGTTATCAGTCCTTTGTCTGATGTATAGTTGGCAAATATTTTCTCCCACTCTGTGGGTGTTCTCTTCAGTTTAGAGACCATTTCTTTTGATGAACAGAAGCTTTTTAGTTTTATGAGGTCCCATTTATCTATGCTATTTCTTAGTTGCTTTGCTGCTGGGGCTTCATTGAGAAAGTTCTTACCTATACCTACTAAATCCAGAGTATTTCCTAGTCTTTCTTGTATCAACTTAAGAGTTTGGAGTCTGATATTAAGATCCGTGATCCATTTTGAGTTAATCTTGGTGTAGGGTTATACATGGATCTAGTTTCAGTTTTTTGCAGACTGCTAACCAGTTTTCCCAGCAGTTTTGTTCAAGAGGCTGCTATTTCTCTATCGTATATTTTTAGCTCCTTTGTCAAAGACAAGTTGTTATATTGTGTGGCTTCATATCTGGTCCTCTATTCTGTTCCACTGGTCTTCATGTCTGTTTTTGTGCCAGTACCATGCTGTTTTTATTGTTATTGCTTTGTAATATAGTTTGAAGTCAGGTATTGTGATACCTCCTGCATTGTTCTTTTGACTGAGTATTGCCTTGGCTATTCGTGGCCTCTTGTGTTTCCATATAAATTTAACAGTAGATTTTTCAATCTCTTTAATGAATGTCATTGGAATTTTGATGGGAATTGCATTAAACATGTAGATTACTTTTGGGAGTATGACATTTTTACTATGTTGATTCTACCAATCCATGAGCATGGGAGATCTCCCACTTTCTATAGTCTTCCTCAATCTCTTTCTTCAGAAGTGTATAGTTTTCCTTGTAGAGGTCTTTCACATCTTTTGTTAGGTTTACACCTAGGTATTTGATTTTTTTTGAGGCTATTGTAAATGGAATTGTTTTCATACATTCTTTTTCCGTTTGCTCATTGTTAGTGTTAGAAATGCTAATGATTTTTCTATGTTGATTTTATATCCTGCTACCTTGCTATAGCTATTGATGATGTCTAGAAGCTTCTGAGTAGAGTTTTTTGGGTCTTTAAGGTATTGGATCATGTCATCTGCAAATAGGAATATTTTGACAGTTTCTTTACCTATTTGTATTCCTTTTATTCCTTCTTCTTGCCTAATTGCTCTGGCTAGGAATTCCAGTACTATGTTGAATAGGAGTGGAGATAGTGGGCATCCTTGTCTGGTTCCTGATTTTAGAGGGAATGGTTTCAGTTTTTCTCCATTAAGTATAATGCTGGCTGTAGGTTTGTCATATATAGCTTTTATAATGTTGAGGAACTTTCCTTCTATTCCTAGTTTTCTTAGAGCTTTTATCATGAAATGTGTTGGATCTTATCAAAGGCTTTTTCTGCATCTATTGAGATGATCAAGTGGTTTTTGTCTTTGCTTCTGTTAATGTGGTTTATTACGTTTATTGATTTTCGTATGTTGAACCACCCCGCATCCCTGGGATGAAGCCTACTGGTTCGTGGTGAATAATCTTTTTGATGTGTTGCTGAATTCGGTTTGCCATTATTTTGTTGAGGATTTTTGCATCAATGTTCATTAAGGAGATTGGCCTATAGTTCTCCTTTTTGGAGGTGTCTTTGCCTGGTTTTGGGATAAGTGTAATACTGGCTTCATAAAATGTGTTTAGGCAGTTTTCCTTCCCTTTCTATTTCGTGGAACAGTTTAAGGAGGGTTGGTATCAGTTCTTCTTTAAAGGTCTGATAGAATTCAGCAGAGAATCCATCAGGTCCTGGACTTTTCTTTTTGGGGAGACTCTTGATTGCTGCTTCAATTTCATTTTGTGTTATAGATCTATTCAGGTGATTAATTTCCTCTTGGTTCAGTTTTGGATGATCATATGTATCTAGAAATCTGTCCATTTCTTTTAGATTTTCAAATTTATTTGAATATAGGTTCTCAAAGTAGTCTCTGATGATTTCCTGGACTTCCATGGTGTTTGTTGTTATCTCCCCTTTTGCATTCCTGATTCTACTAATTTGGGTTTTTTCTCTCCTCATTTTAGTCAGGTTTGCCAGGGGTCTATCGATCTTGTTTATTTTTTTCAAAGAACCAACTTTTTGTTTCATTAATTCTTTGTATGGTTTTTTTGGTTTCTATTTCGTTGATTTCAGCTCTTATTTTTATTATTTCTCTCCTTCTATTTGTTTTGGGATTTGCTTGTTCTTGTTTTTCTAGGAGTTTGAGATGTATCATTAGGTCATTGATTTGGGATCTTTCAATCTTTTTAATATATGCACTCATGGCTATAAACTTTCCTCTCAAGACTGCCTTAGCTGTGTCCCATAGGTTCCGGTAGGTTGTGTTTTCATTTTCATTGACTTCAGGAACTTTTTAATTTCCTCTTTTATTGCATCGATGATCCATTCTTCATTAAGTAATGAGTTATTTAGTTTCCAGCTGTTTGCATGTTTTTGTCTTTACTTTTGTTGTTGAGTTCTACTTTTACTGCATTGTGGTCAGATAGTATGCACGGTATTATTTCTATTTTCTTATATTTGCTGAGGCTTGCTTTGTGCCCTAGGATATGATCTATTTTGGAGAAGGTTCCATGGGCTGCTGAGAAGAATGTATATTGTGTAGAGGTTGGATGAAATGTTCTGTAGACATCTACTAGGTCCACTTGATCTATTGCATATTTTAGATCTTGGATTTCTTTATTGAGTTTTTGTTTGGATGACCTATCTATTGATGATAATGGAGTGTTAAAGTCTCCCACAACCACTGTGTTGGCGTTTATATATGCTTTTAGGTCTTTCAGGGGATGTTTGATGAAATTGGGTGCGTTGACATTGGGTGCGTACAGATTGATGATTATTATTTCCTTTTGGTCTATTTCCCCTTTTATTAGTATGGAATGTCCTTCTTTATCTCGTTTGATCAATGTAGGTTTGAAGTCTACTTTGTCAGAGATAAGTATTGCTACTCCTGCTTTTTCGGGGCCATTGGCTTGGTAAATCTTCTTCCAGCCTTTCATCCTAAGCATATGCTTATTTCTGTCGGTGAGATGAGTCTCCTGTAAGCAACAAATTGTTGGATCTTCTTTTTTAATCCCAAACGGTGTCTTTTGATGGGTGAATTAAGTCCATTAACATTAAGCGTTAGTACTGATAGGTATGTGGTGATTCCTGCCATTTAGTTATCTTAGTTGTTTGAAGGTTTGATTGTGTGTACCTAACTTGATGTTACTCTCTACTGTCTTGCTTTTTCTTATCCTGTGGTTTGGTGCTGCCTGCCTTTTCATGGTTAAGTTGGGTGTCACTTTCTGTGTGCAGGATCCCTTGCAGAATCTTTTGTAATGGTGGCTTTGTGGTCACATATTGTTTTAGTTTCTGCTTATCATGGAAGACTTTTATTGCTCCATCTATTTTGAATGATAGCTTTGCTGGGTAGAGTATCCTGGGGTTGAAGTTATTTTCATTCAGTGCCCGGAAGATCTCACCCCACGCTCTTCTTGCTTTTAATGTTTCTGTTGAGAAGTCTGCTGTGATTTTGATGGGTTTACCTTTGTATGTTACTTGTTTTTTCTCTCTTACAGCCTTCAATATTCTTTCCTTAGTTTCTGAACTTGTTGTTTTAATGATGATATGTCGTGGAGTAGTTCTATTTTGATCTGGTCTGTTTGGTGTCCTGGAGGCCTCTTGCATTGTATGGGAATATCTTTCTCTAGATTTGGGAAATTTTCCGTTATTATTTTGTTGAATATATTACGCATTCCCTTCGCTTGCACCTCTTCTCCTTCTTCGATGCCCATGAT